GGTACGGTGACACACAACCAATGCGATGAAGGCGACGGTAGTCAAAAAAATAAAGCCTCACTTTCTTTACCTTTAATGGTGATATTTCACAGCCATATGCTAGAAAAAAGTAAATTAAATTGCTGTATACTCGGTCCTTAAACGGCTGACATATATCGCGGCGGCTCCATAAATAGCGTAAGTTGACTACAGGCAGTTGAGGCTTTTGTATCGAAACGCCGACTTCTTCGGCCACTGACCCTTCGGGATTGGTCCAACTTTTCTAGTAAATGAAGTGATCACTGTGCTCAACCACTTCACTTCCTAGTGTTAGACAAGGCACCGATGCAGACCAATCCTGGAGCAAAAACTCGTATTTGAGTGATGAGAAGCACATAGCAAATATTTTCAAATTGTCACTTGGAGAATCCAAAAGACAGCATCTCCACATACTTCAAGCCAACAAGTGGAGCTGTGGCTCATTGGCTTATGCAGTTGACTTTAAGCCATTGCTTCGTAAGTTCGAATCTCATCACTTACTAAGGTTTAAGCAGGCAGGTAGTATGATCAGCCCTCACACAATAAGTGTGGCCCATTGCCTACTGTACGATAGTGCACGTGATTTCTGAGTGCATTTCAATTTAGTTTTAAGTTTAAGAAGGAATCGCCAACGACAAAGTTAATCTCTCAAGTGTCTGTCGAGGTGTGGAGGACCTCTATAAGCATGTTCAAGACAAAATTAGAGAAGGGAAAGGGCGAACTTTAATGGCCACCACTGAACGTAAACTACTCACCATAGGCTCTAAGATTTCCATAGTTGTACTTAACCGATCCACCTACCTCAAGAGATGCTGCTAATAACAGCTTTCAGTCGATGGAATCGAATACTGACTACGAATCAAGAAATACATCTAGTGTCGCGTACCCGAAATTGTCTGTGTTTCAAGATCTGGTGGAGAGGAGGGGTGAAAATCTGGTCAACACACCTACGACGAGGTCTGAGGTTATCTTGGTTTTATCCGGGTATTTTTTTCTTCAAGCCTTAGTTTGGCGCATTATAATTATGTAACCTAGAATCTTAGACACCATAATCATGAGACTGATTCCCCTGTGATTATCGCAGAGGAATTTATCCCTTTTCTTGAAGTCCGAGGGGATTGTATTTGATTCCCACGCAATAGCTAACCCTTAAGTAAATCTAATCAACAATCCTCAACCATCATATACAAACACCTCCGGTGACTTGTCACCGTCCCATGTCTCAGGCTAATTACAGCCTTCCTAACTTCTACAATGGTTGGAGAGCCTACCGTGTGAAATGTATGATGCTGTAAAACTGGTCTGTAACCACTCCCAGTTTGACAATAGGAGTGAAGTGATGGAAAGCGTCGACCACTTCACTTACTTGGGAAGTTGCAACAGCCCGAATGGACTAGTTGCTGACGAAATCTCAGCTCGGATACATAAAGGCCGTTCGGCATTTGCCAACTTACTCCATCTCTGGTACCAAATGGCGCGATGTTCGACTGCCTGTTAGAGGATGAATATGCTGCACTGCAGTCCATTTTGTCCTACTTTACGACTATGAGATATGGTCATTAGAATTAGATATTAAGTGGTTACACGTCTTCGACCATAGGTGTCTTCGTAACATTGCTCACGCATGATAGAATTATCATGTCAGCAATATCAAAGTTAGGTGAAGGATACTGGGTAAGAAAAGGAAGTCGGTCGATAAGGTTTTGAACCTTCATGGACTAAAATGACTTGGATATGTGTTGTCCATGCCGGGCTACTGTCTATCTTGACGTGCAATACTAGACAGAGTTGGGGGAAAGTTCAGGGTGGCCAGACCGAGACGTGACACTAGTGCATTAAGTCTGATTATTGGTCTGAATTGTGTATGGGGGTATAGACTGCCTAACTGGGGTCCCCGAAACGATAGGAATCAGTGGTTGAGGACTCTCGGTGAAATGGCTGGAAATCGGTGACAGTGGTGCACATTTACTCACTCTTTGATGTCTCCTAAAGCTTGAATATTTGCATGAACCTTTATCTTTAAATTGTTTATTATCTCACACAATTTTGTGTACTTTGATATCACCCTTCTTTTGCCCAGCTGTTTTTTGTATATTTCTGTGGAGTTTGGTAACTCGAGCCAATGCACTTGTGTGCAACGTTTCGCATTAACGTAGTCTATTTATACACCATTTACTATTTACTATCCTACCGTCTTTAATGTAGACCTCTAGTTGCATATTTTATCACAAATGTGCGAATGGAGAATCATGTGACTTATGTGGATGGGTTGCACGAAATCCTGTATCTGACAAATACTAGTCGGTAACAGGTGCGGAACAGACTACGTTGGGATTTAGTACATGTAATGCATTTTCGTAACATGATGGATCTGGATGTCTAACACTGTTTGACTTCAGTAGATTGAATGGCTATGAAAGGTCGGTTACCTCCATCCTCAACTAACTTCTTTCACCCGAAGACACTATAAGCATGTCATAATAGCATACATGGCCCTTTGCTCTAACATGGTACTTTTTACCTTACTTTTGTGGAGTTAAACAGGTTCCAGAATATAGGTTATACCCATTTCGCTGTGTTGAACTGAGGCAAACGTGAAGCTAGCTGCAAGGCAAAATAAAAAGGAGGGGGTGTTGTGAAGCCTCTCGTTTAACCCTCTATCTGGCCCCCAGTTTCTAATGGGATTTGGGTCTGGAAAACTCGTTGACTAAAGATGAAGAGAAAAGCCAGTGGTGTTGAGAGAAATTGGTATGAAGATGCGATTTATCATAGATTCCCAGTGAATACCTATGTATTTTTACACTCGTTATAGCTTATTAATTTTCTTACTAATTCCAGCCTACTTGACCAGCAGGTCAACTTTACTTTGCACAAGTACCAAATATTACGTAAACTGATGTTTATACGAAGTTACTGAGCTTAGGAAAACCAATCATGATCGGCTGTTTTGGTAGAAATCATAGTCGGAAAATGTGTAGGCCCGTGTCTTCAACAAAATGTAGAGGACTTTTCCCAAAATAGGCGATTACTATGGCTAAACCTAGTTACACTTTCTTATCGTATGAAAAAAATTTCGTATTTACAGATCGTATCCCGAATAATGTTGAATTTATGTAGTATTTTTTAGAAACTATTTTAGGACTGATCATCCTAAAAACCAACGCAAAAGGCCACGGTTGGACAATGTTAAGTTGGAGTACCAGTTTTTCTTCCCGATAAACACCACTCAGAGGAAAGCGGAATTTCATCAAATTCCGTTGATGTCGAGTCACAACCTAGTTCTACCTGACAGTAACAAAGCTTAAGAAAAACTTAGAGCGAGAGTGGGGAAATTCCATAGAAATATGTAGAATTCTGTTCATCTGATCAGGCGACAGAGCAGTACTGTACGAAATGAAAAGACGTTTACTATCTGAATATTTGTATAACATGCAACAGGGTACTTGAGTTTTTTCACGTTAATCATGTTGAACAGTGAGACAGTGGTTAGTAGATATTTTTTAAGATATCGGCAGCTTAACCCAAGGTTATGTTGTGTACACAGATGCTGAACTTTCGCCTCAATTCTAGCCCTCTTTATCCTTACTTTCCGGTTGCATTACACTGCACAATCCCCAGGATAATAGAAGCTAAAAAGTAAGCTACCTTCTAAGCCCCAATTTCTACTTAAATCTGCATTCAGTTCGAATATAATGAGATTTAATGAAGTCTCTGAGGTAATTTTGGAGAAGTGCAATCGTTGGTCACCATTTTACCCAGTGTTTGCGTCTCTTCCTAAAACTTCAAACAGGGTATAACGACTAATTATCTTTGTTTGTTTGTTTTTTATGGCAGAATGATATCCATAAGGAGTTTTAAGCGATGGATACGGATTTATTCGACACTAACTTCCAAACCTTATTGTGCAAACTTTTTCTATATCGCTGTAACGATATGAACGTATATATGCGCATACAAAACACTAAGCTTTTGTTAAATGACATATAAACTGTTGCTTTCAGCCAGCATGCAATGAACGTATCTGCACAGAATTTGTTGAAGATCATCTACAGGCTTCTGAATACCAAATCAGTGGGAAACGCGTTAAGTACTTTACGTAAGATGACAAAGTGTAGGATACGTATACTCTTAGACTAATCATGCATAATTACGAAGGAGACAGGTCGAAAATAGAGGAAATTACATACAATCAGCGACAATCTGCAAACAAACACGCGATTTTCCAGTGACTTAGTCAACACAAACACGCCTAAACATGTAAGCCCAAGAACTCGAACTAACGAAAATGGGGAAATCAAGGTGAAAAATGACGAAATAATGGGCAATCCGTTATAATAGATACATAGACTAAGGCGTTTAAGAAAGCACTAACTCATCAAGTAGGTGTAATATATTCAATATGTTGGAAGCTTCGAAACATACCACTAAAAATTTAAATAAATAAATAATCACAATAACATCAGTGATGCGACGTATCTTCCATACACGGAAAATATACTCTTTTCTTCCCCTTTTTTGGTAGTTTGAGAATGACTGACATTTCACTGGATTTTTCAATTTTCGGAAATTTTGCAGAACGCACATGTGGTTTTGAGATCAAAAGAGGACTCAAAGCATTTAAAGAAAACATGCAGACAACATGTCTTATTTGCAATTGCAAATAACTTAAATAAATTCCAGTCGCGACTGGAATCGAGAGAGAAAGTGACACTGGAAAAAATTAAAGATGGTTACGTTTATTCAAATAAATTTCGAGTTTTCACTACTCTTTCAAAAAATCTCTTTATTTGACCCCAGAATTCCAACAATATGCTGTATTCGAGCATTCGCAAGCAAATGAAGAGAGTGGAACTATTTTCCCGCTCTCACTATGCTAAGTTAGTATTCGTAATATGACTAAAAAACCATGAGAAAGAATCGATTAAGCAGTAATCAGGAATGACAGTGAAATGGGTTACTCTCAAAATGACTGCATATCTGACCTAGAGCAAGCGCAAAAGTACAATGAATTTTGAAATATCAGCCTTCGGACATTCAACATCAATAGTGCGAGTATGGAGAACTGAAAGCTTTGATCTCTCAAGTCCGAAGCTTTAGGCTTGGTTTCTACTTTTTGGTTTTCTCCCGTGGTAAGCAAGGAAATCTCGTTTGCTCTCCTGCTTTCATCCCAGGTGAGGTGTGTCTTTGTGGTTTGGCATTTGCAGCTTGTAAGCTTTGTTGGTACGAAAGCTATGGACTACTGGGAGCCTTTCATGATTACATTTAGTAATTTTGCCTCAAAAAAATGCCATTATGGTCAGATAAGGTGTGTGGGACGTTCAGGGAGGGTAAAAGTAGATGGCATGAGTCTGGTTACTAAGGCAGAGTTAGAAGACAAGTGTGTCCAGTGTATCGAAACAAAAAGATGGCGAGTAGCTAATAAGTAGGAAGTAGTAGTAAAATATTTTGGTCAGCGGTATCCTGATCAAATCACCCACCCACCCACCCCCACCCCCTCTCCAAGGCAAACCAAGCTACAACTTACAAATAAAATACCTTCGAATAGACAATCACTACCTCCAAAGCTATAGGTAGGAAGACACAAAAAGACTCCTACAACCATTAAAGGAGTACAACCAAACAAAATGAACCGGGCCTCAAGATCTAGAAGCGAGAGCTCAAAAACTACACGTTTCCTCTACTCGCACAATTGATGTTGGATCCGAACGAACATAAACGCCTAACCTTCTTTGAAAGAGTCTGTCGGGGGGTGTTACTACATCCCTAGGTGAATCACTCCATAAAGCGTATGCCGTGGGGGAAAAGAGTCTGACCTAGGTCTGGTTTGGTGCACTATTCCGGTGGTTTTTTTCTCACGATGGCAACCTTGTTGGAGTCCAAGTTAGTTTGCTTGCGTAAAATGCTTGGACGTCATAATAGGTCATAATCAGGTCACCCTCCTTTGCGCAATAGTTTGAGGAGGATAGGTTCAGTTGCCTTAGTATGTCAGAATATAACTACCCCACTGGTTCGATCACTGACTTTATCGAATCTATTTCTAATTTGGCAAGGAAATTAGAGTCTCTCTCGAGTGTCACGGGTGACGTTGTGTTAAAGACTTCCGGATATGGCCGTGGTTGTGGTTTGAAAACAGTTAGAGTGAGGACACAGGTCTCTATGGAGGGAATGTGGAGGGGCTCTTGAACTGGCGATCATTCTTCTGCCATTAGAACTGCCGTTCAGTGTATCAGAGAAGTTGGGCCCCAGATCATTTTCCTTGGTCAATCCAGTGAAGATACAGTTGTTCAGCTTGTGTTCAAACTCGACGGTCCTTGTTTCGACGGCACAGATTGAGCTTCAGGTCATTTTTTGACGACCAAAGTTCCAGTTGCTGCAGATATTTTTGGGTGTTCCAAGGTCAACCTTTTCACTTATCATCCTCCTAATTTTAACGTCATCCGCGTAACGGAGGATGGGTGAGGGAATTTTGTGTCACAAATAACTGATGAACGACAAGAGCAAGGGTGGCCAATTGGGTTACTCCCTTATATATCTCCAAAGCTGAAGTGCTCCATTTAGACCATATTACCGTTTACAGGACTGTCTGAATTCTCGGTACGTTTTGAACCCGGAAAACGGATGTTTTCTTTTGCCAGCTGAAGCGACATTGCGGTATTTCGTGCAGAATCCTTCTGACTTCTTCTGCTAGGTAAAGGAAGATTACATGAACTGCTTTTCTGTTATCACAGACAGAGGTACGGTCGTCCAAGGCAATGGGCAAACTAGTGGCATGTGAACGGTTGCTTTGAAAGTCACATCGAGAGGTATGAACGGTGTTTTTCCTGTCAGCCGATTCCCAGACCCAGTCTACCAGGTATTCCAATACCTCAAACAGCATGGGGAGCGGGGTGATTGGCATGTGATAATATACATGTATGTTTCATACAACATAAGCTACATGAAAACGAACCAGTTTACAGTTTTCATCACACTGGTAACATGAACTCATCGTTACGTGCAATAACAAGCGATGGATTAGACATCTTTATTTAAAGCACACACGAGATGAGCTTAAAGAAAGAACGTCAATGCTTAACAGATAGCAAACAATAAATTGCCAAACACCAACATAATTGGTCGGACGGCTGAACAAAGTTCATTCCTTAATAAGGATTCGCTCAGCCATTGTTTAAACCACTGAATATTCTTGAAGGTTTGACGGGTGGTGCAGTCATGACCCTAAATCTTGTGCGCCAACAGTTGCGATAACTGGGGTTCCATACCAATGGAGGACTTATCAGGTGCACCTGAAAAATGAATAACAAAGAGACCAGCAGGCCAAACTCGAAACAGAAGCTATAAAAGTACTACATGGAGGTGTATCAGTCATTATATATATATATATATATATATATATATATATGGGTGAGTTGATAGCATTGACTACAAAAGTTACTTGGTAGAGTAACCTAAACCAGCTATTTAGGGGCCACCTTATGGCGGAGAAGATGAAGCTACAAAAGGTAGTGGTGAAATCAACACTAAAACTGAAGATATCACCGTGGAATAGAGAGAAGTGAGGATTCGGAACCAGGTGTTCACTTATTTGCAGAAAACCTGTACACATAACCTGAATAAAATCACAATCCCCGAAGTAAAACTCATACTTTTTGCCATACTAATAAACATTCATTACAAAGTCGTAGGGGAGAGATCACCATGGTGTTCCGCTGGGTATTATATCATATCGATGCTACATAGACTATACGGCGGTGCAGAGCGATCTGAGGTAGTAGACATGGAGAGTTTTTTCTTTGACTTAGTTCTAATTTTCGATTATTTTATCATTACTTTCGTTTTGTTTTAAATCTGAAAGCCATCATAGGTGCAAGTACGCATATAAATCGTGCGGGAAAGTATTTAAGAGGGATAACCACATAAGTTGAGTGAGGATGATACCACGTAGCAACTGCGCTCATCCTAACCGACAGTGTTGTCATTGGGGGGAATGCCATGATTATGTGTCAATAGCTCCACTATAGTTTGTATTTGGGGATATAATATGTGTCAGGAAATTTATGAATATCCGTGAACCGCAGGAGTTTGTTAGGTAGACGATGAAACCGAAGTGGGGACATGCAAGTGAGACCACAAAGTGAGAGCCTTTTCCACAACTTGTATTATACCCCGTAACCTTTTAAGCTGTATCGTATCACAGAGAATCGTGTCCTAAGCTTAAGGCGGTATTTGTCATTAGGTACAGCACACTCAAACTCGCCTGGTTAATTAGTTCACTAGTTACTAGCCGGTCCTAAGCCCCCATAAAGAGGGAAGGTTGGGCATAGGGCTAGCAACCCTACCCTGGAAAACCGACCCAATCACTAAGGAAACTTCAAAGCACAAAAGAAATATAAAAATAACAACAAAGTTATTCCTCGCTGGAGTCGGAGAGGCGAAATGACGCCAGTTGGTGAAAGCCTTCGGGAAGCCAATCGGCCGATGTGTCTTCTCACTCTCGATGAAAGCGGAAGTAAACTTGGGGGCATGGAATGTCCGTACGACGTTTGAACCCAGCAAGGCAGCCCAGATTGCAAAGGAGATGAAGAGGTATCACACTGAGGTGCTTGGAATTTGCGAAAGCAGACGGAATGGGAGTGGACTCTTCAAACTGTCAACTGGAGAATCAATAATCTGCTCTGGTCACCCAGACGACAACCACCAGCGCACTGAGTTATGGAGCGGCCATCATGATTTCCCCATCACAAGGGCATCGACGGCTCTCTCTCATGCAGTGGGAACCAATCTCCTCCACGATCATGACAGCAAGATTCAACTCAAAAGGAAGGAAGGTCACAATCATACAATGTTATGCACCTACAAATAATGCAGAGCAAGGGACAAAGGAGGAATTCTACAGATAACTGCAATCAACACTGGACAAGACGTCAGTTGGCGATATCAAAATTCTAATGGGTGACATGAATGCCAAACTGGGAGGGGACAACACAGGAAGAGAACTAGCCATGGGTTGAGAAGCGCTCGGTGAGGTGATGAACGAGAATGGAGAGTTGTTTGAAGAATTCTGTGCATTCAACGATTTGGTGATTGGAGGCAGTGTGTTCAAACACAAGGATATCCACGAAGCGACATGGAATTCATCAGATGGACAAACTATACAAAAAATCAGCTGGCTTCATCTCAATCTCAAGAAAGTGGGGAAGCAGTCTGCTTGACACAGGGTCGAGAAGAGGAGCAGATGTAGGTTCAGACCACTATCTAGTGTAAGGAACCTTCCAACTCAAGTTGAAAGCCTTCAAGGAAGCTGGCGATAGACTACAGTTCAAGTAAAACACTTAGAAACTGAAGGACGAAACTACAAAGGAAATCTTCACATCAGTCAGCCATCAAGACAAAATGGGAGATGTAGAGGAACATCCCTGAAGAAACCTGTGTGGATGAACACTGGAAGCTTTTGAAAGAGATGTGGAAAGAAACCTGCATAACCGCATAAGAAGGAAGAAGAAAGAGGGCAATGAATGGATCTTGACGGACACATGGAAGCTGATAGAGCAGGGAGAGAAGGATGGTGAAGCAGAAGATAAACTAGTGCAAGGGTGCACAACGAGAAGATGAACCGAGTACAATGTATAAAACAGTACACTGGGAAAAGAAGTGAAGAAGAGTGCATGCAAAGACAAACGACATTTCTACGAAACACCGGCAAGTGAAGCAGAACAAGCTGCAGGTTGGAGAGACCTGGCAACATTGTATCAAATAACTGGGTTGCTATCAGGGAAGAGATCAAGTCAGATGAAACCAATAAAGGACGATGGCAGAAAGTTATTTACCAAAGGAGAGGAACAAAGTAAACGGTGGGCCGACCACTTCAAGAAGCTCTTGAATCGACCGCCACCGCCACCTGCATTTCGTCCAGAAATACCACCAACAGCCCAGCCGCTGAACAACTACAAGTGAACATAAATCCTCCAACGAAAATGGAAGTCCTGAAGGCCACAAGGCTACTGAAATGCGGGGAAGCAGCAGGACCATATGGGATACC